GCGTCATGCAGCAGGGTTACAATGGTGACCGGGGCTGTGGTGACCGTTCAGGCGCTGGGGTGCTGAGGGCCGTGATGGGGACTTAGGTGTGGGGGGAGAGTGAGGGGAGGAACTCCAGAGCTTGGCTGGGTAGGGAATTCTTTGGTGGTGGGTGCTCAGAGGGGCAGGGGACAGCATAGGGGCAGCTACAAGGTGACAGTGCAGCCTGGTGGCTGCCGACAGGGAGGCTCTGGTCACTGTGAGGGGTTTGCCCACTAAAGTGATGAAGGGGACAGCAGGGAGTGTGTGCAAGGGACATGCAGGAAGGATTGTGTAGGAAAGCATTGAGGGCAGAGGGAATCATTAGCCTCCTTTGGAGACTAAGAAGGGGTTACGGTGTGTCTGCAGGGTGCTGAGGTAGTTACTGATGGGCACTGAGGGAGTGGAGGCTACTTGAGTGGCAACTGCTTGAGATACAAGGGAGTAATGTGAGTGCAAGTGTCTGGGATCTGCTTGCTTCTTCTAAGGATGTTCTGCTAGTGTCTTTGTTGATTGTGAAGGTGATGGGAGGGATAATGGGGGTCTGTCATAACCTATTTGGGAGAAGTAGATCTTAAACTCTATGAATGGTTTAAATCTGCAGACAGTTCTCAGTCCCCCCAAAACCATTCCCTTCTCTCATATATATATTCTTGGTGGCTTTGCAAAATCCAGCAAATCTGTTATTAGAGTATGTTTTTGTTACCTTGTACAGCTTGGAGGCTTTCTTGTTGCTCCCTGCACAGGAAGAATTTAATAAGTACATCACTGGAGCTCATTTGGGGCTGGAGTCCCAAGAAAACCCCAAAACCTTTTCAAAGTACTGCTGCTCAAAATGTTTCGGTTTGTGCCCAGTTTTAGGCAGGGGATTTTATTATCCATTTAGGGACAGGAACAATAATTGTTAATAACAATAATAATTCTTCAAAGATTGCTGTACTGATCTTCCATGTCTGAGGAAAATCAGTAAAGTAAATGCTCAAGTGAACCAATACCAGTCCGGTTATTTCTGTGCTGAAGGATGACAGATTCTTTGTTATACTTAAGGAATGTATCCTGCACTTGTGTGTTTGGGCTGGGAATTTCAAAGGGATTTATGGAAGCCAAATACAAACTTCCTGTCTCTGAGATTTTTTCTCAGTTTTTCTGGTCTCCTTTGAACATCTCAATCTCACAACAGATGTTTAAAAGTTCCATGAAAAATCCTGTATCGAATCGGTATCCTCAAAGGTTGTGTGTGAACATTAAGAACTTAATATGGCTTCAGGCTCAAGTGGATGCTCAGGTACAAAAGGATTTGTTCTTGGATGGTAAATGTCAGTTAGGTTTACTGAGTCACTTGGTGATGGTACTGAGGTTCCACAGTAGAAAAGTTTTACTAACTTGTAGCAACTATTAACACTTTGATCTGGGACATTTCAGAAGTTCAAGGTATTTCTGGTGGGAGTCAGAAGTTTCCAGGTTTCTGTAAATGGAAGTAGTCGTATTGGTGACATAAATAATCAGGGGGTACAAAGACAGTGATTGATAGCTCTAGGTGGTTGTCCCTATGAGTGTGAACTTCTCTTCAGCAGCAGAAGAGGCAAAATCTGCACAAGCAGCTTTCCAGCAGAATGGGAGTAAAATTCTTCTGGATAAAACAACACGAAAAAGATATTCCAAGGTGTGAGGAGCTGCGTGGGGATATAGACTCCAAGGTATGTTTTCCCTTTCTTTCACTTGCAGAGGTGCCTTACAGTGAGCATTCCTCTTACACACCTTTCTGTGCCATGTAGCACACTGCCCTCAGCACCCTCACTTGTTTCAGCTGCAGGCATCAACTGCTCATCTAGGGTAGGAAGTTATTTTGGATACAGAAAGCTGACCTTGCCTTGCTTCAGGGCATGGTGAGTGCAGTGAGAGGGCATGTGCCTGCCTATGGATTTGAGTGCATCTGTCAATAGTCACTTTAACTTCATTCCCTTGATTTTACATCGATTTGGCAAGCTTGCAATGTGGCTTTCCATGGACTTTGTTCTGTTTCCTTGGGCTTATTTTAATAGGAAAAGTATCCAGCCTGCTGTATTTAGTCACAGTTATTACTTTAGTTACTATTTAGTTCTATATTTACTATAGTTACTATTTAGTAACTATATTTAGTTCTATTAGTTGTTGTCAATTTTAGCTGTTAGAGGGAGAGCTATTAGAAATCAGAATTTGAAGTCAGAAAAGCAGTTTAATATGAAAACAAGTTACATAAAATGTTTATATCCATTCAGTAATAAAACCTTCCATGTTACATGAACTAATCTGGTTCTGCCATTTGATCGTGTGACCACTAAAAATGAGTAATCTTCATAAGTGCCCCTTTTCTTGTGACTTTTATTCTAGATAATATATGCCACCAGTTCCATTACAGAACTGTTCATTGTCAGTTGAATCCTGAGGTTGGCAGTTGTGACAACATGCCCAGGGAATACTGCTGACATGCATAGCCCTTCAGAGAGCGGTTTTGTTCCAGCTCTGACAATGAAAACTGATATCAGAGTTGCAGTGAAAGGCAAATATTCATAGTGCTAGGAGAACTAGATGCATATTAACAAGGGCACTAGATAAAACAAGCCTGAAAAAGAAACAGAGACAAAGGACTGGAAAAGGAACAACTGCTTGTTTGATTTGAAAGAATGTAAAACCCAGTAACTAGTGGCAGAGGCCACTGTTCTCCAGCGTATCTTTACTCAGGACGACACTTCAGGATGTCACAAAACTAAGGGCCTGAGTGCTATCCTGGGCAGGATTATTGCTGTCAAAAAGCCCCTCTTTGTTTTGTTTATTTCAGAACTGTCAGGAACTTGTCACAAGTGACAAAGGCTGGTGAACATATGACATTTTATAAATCATTCATTTCTCTTTATTTTTCCTTCTTTTCTGCTTGCCCTTCCCTCCCCTTTAGATCTAACTTCTAGCACAAGTGCACCAAAAAGCATGGAAGAGAAGGAGAAAGAGGAGAAACCAGAAGAGCAACTTACAGACCCTGAATCAGCTTTCCCAGAATCCTTACTAGAGTTTCAGTAGGTTTAAGATATTTAATTTTTCACTGATATAGAATATGTGAATGGATAAAGCAGATAACAAAGACAACTTATCCAGTTCAGAGCCTGAGCTGATTGACTGTGTTTTTCTCTCTTTCTTCCTCTCTCCTCTCTTGCCCTTTTGCTTTCTC